TGCACCTGGTCTGACAACCCGGCAGGCCAAGAAAGTGGCAGGGTGAAGCATGCTTCTGCCAAGAGCGATGCTAGGCGCCTTGCTCCACCACCCACCAAGTATGGAAGAGGAGAATGAATCTTCCACTAGAACATGGGAGATACAATGCCACAATTCTTTTCTTCTCTGCATGTGGTGAGTGGTGGAGTGAGGCTACCAGTAGAGGCCGCTGCTCCAGCTTCTGTGGCAGTCCTACGAAGTAAAAAGCTGTTCGGTAGGGCCCTCCGCCACTTCCCTGAACTAAGCCTATTAAGCCTGTACCGGCCTCCTGTGCCCGCCTAAAGTTGTTCAGGTGAAGTCGAACATAAGGCATATGTGGATTAAACGAATACAAGGCAACCTGTTTGTTGTATTCGTTTACAAAGCGTATGCGTTATGTTTGGGGTAAGACAGTATCTAGCTGCATCCACATGGTTGGCAGAGCCTCGGTGCTCGGATCTGGTTTGATTCCATAAGCAGCCCTCAGAGAACTGCAACATCATTGCAATTGCATGTGCTACCGTCTTCAACCGAATAGAACGCCCGGTCATTATCGCTGTATTTAGACTGGAAGATGGCCCAAATACAGCTATAATGACTGGGCGTTCTATTCAGGCGAAGACGGTAGTAAGTTGTGAGTAATGTGAAGTCAGCTGGAGTTGCATTAGGGCTGGACAGTTGTGAAAACCATCAGCTGTGGCATATGAAGCCCTCCTACTCCTTCCTTTGTTGTTGAAGGGGAAAGGCGGCGTGGGGGGAGAGAAGGGGGTGAAGGGGGGAAAGGGATAGATGATGTTACTGATAACAAAGGGAATGACTACTGGTTCTCAGGGTTTTATCATTTATGACCCTTATACTGATTAAATAGTCCATCCATGGCACCTACCCTCTCTTCTTCCCTCTCAACTTCCTCCCCCCCCCCCCCACCCCTCCTCTCTTTTTCCCACCCACATTCATCTTCTTTCTGTATCTTCATGGCAATTTATGAATGCAGGGAATCTGAAGTCAATGGAAATCTTGGTGTAAAGATTTCCATGTGTGAATTATCTATGGAGAATAAGAACCATGAGAAAGTGAAGGACTTGCTCAGTCCTTCCTGTGCGCTCATTCCGTTCAAGGTTCACGAGTCCAAGCGGACTGGACACATGAGCATTGAGGGAATCCAGCAGGTGAGTGCTCCATTCTTGTTTCAGCCCATTGACCCCACATGCCATATGCACTGATTGGCGTTGACAGTTGTTTAACTTGGAACTCTGATGTCAGGAACGCAAGTAAAATGCAAAGGCTGACAGCGATTTTGTTTTCTTTGTTTTACTGTGACATCTCATTTTCGATGAACCTATCTGTTATCTACCCTATGCCAGGGTTGCATACCTGCAGGCCACTGACCGTTTTGCAGCCGACCAGTAGGGTCGACCGGTCGGCGGTCTGCCGACCAGTGAGGAAACAGCCATCCACTGATTTTTTTTTCAAATCCGAGTTGGGGGGTTGTACTGCGCTTGCTGAGTACAGCTCAAATCCGCTGAGAAACTTTTAGGGGGGTATATGGGGTGGTATAGGGGGTATAGGGGGGTATAGGGGGTATAGGGGGGGTAATGAGGTGTTGGGGGGCGGTTTGGGGGTGTTGGGGTGGTGCATGGGTATTGGGGCCGGGTATGGGGGTGTTGGTGGGGTTATTAGGGGTACATGAGTCGGTGAAACTCCGACGAAACAGTTTGTCACAGCCCCTCGTTTGTTGTCCTCTTCTCTCTCTCTCCCTACGGTTTACCGGGCAGTTCTGTTTGTGACGATATATATCTGTTTGACGATATATATAGTCAAACAGAGCTGCCCGGTAGACCGTAGATAGACAGAGAGGGAGAAGAGGACAACAAATGAGAGGCTGTGACAACCTGTTTCGTCGGAGTTTCACCGACTTATCAGGAGGATGAACCCTCAACAGCCTGCAGAATCCCCTAACTGATTACACTGTAAGTGATAATCCACATTAACCCCGGTTGTGGTTAAGCATCAACGACTGCCCGACAACTGATACCCTGAGGTTGACGATATTTATATATTTGACGATATATATAGGGTTCAGCCTCCTGATGAGTCGGTGAAACTCTGACGAAACAGTTTGTCACAGCCCCTCGTTTGTTGTCCTCTTCTCCCTCCCTCTCTGCCTACGGTTTACCGGGAAGCTCTGTTTGATAATATATATATGCTGACGGTTTACCGGGCAGCTATATCATATATATATATCATATCATATATACATATATAAAACAGTTTGTCACAGCCCCTCGTTTGTTGTCCTCTTCTCCCTCTCTGCCTACGGTTTACCGGGCAGTTCTGTTTGACGATATATATATTTACCGGGCAACTCTGTTTGACTATACATATATAATATATATGTATGTATCTTTTGCGGGGTGCCGAGGACCCCCCTGACCGGTAGGTGCCGACCAGTCAAGGGCCGCTGACCGTCAGGGTGTGCAACACTGCCCTATTGTTTAAAAACTTTTCGGCTGTGGGTGTCTTTTCTTGGCGAACCTCATATGGACATGCGTCCGTTTCTTGTCTGCCTCATGTGCAGAGATATGTGATAAGCGTAATGCAGATCGATGCCTCTCTGCGATTGATGGCGTAACGGCCTTGGTTTCTGTGTCGGGGAAAACATTCTTTTTCTTTTGCCGTCATAGATTGTGCTGATGCTTTTCTTTTCGTTTGTTGTTTTTCTGTTCTCTTTTTTTTTTTGCCTCTGCCTCTTTCATGGCTGTCCTTTTTTTTTGGGTTTTGGCTTTGGGATTCGTTTCTTCATTCTCGGTGTGGTAGGTTGTCAGACCCAAATCTGACAGGGCTTCGGCCACCATTCTGGGAATGCTGCTCAGGAAGGAAAAAAGAAAAATAACCGCAGCTGTGTGGCTGAATGGTACACCGATGAACTGTTCACCAACAGACCTGTGCTAGTATCCTGCCAGGACCAAGTACTGTGGTCAGTTCGATAATGATACCTCAAGGTCGTCAGCCTTCAGAAGAGACCAAAAACAATGATAGAGCGATGGCAGGCTGGGGCCTGCATTTTCCATTGTAGACAGCACCCAGACAGAGCGTGCGCTTTGGCACACCCATTTCCATAGACTGGCTGGCGCTGGCCAAGAAAGGAATAGGCAGGCAGAGCAGAGTATGAGCTGCGTTCGAATGGGCGTGCGGAGGTGCACTCTCTCTCTCTCTCTCTCTCTCTCTCTCTCTCTCTCTTGCATGTGCGCGCGCTCGCGCTCTTAGCAGTGTTGTGCGTGAATACATAGAGAGTTCTATTCACACTCGGCCGAGGAAGGAAATAGGTGCCTGCGCGCAGCTTGGTGAAGCTCACCTCCTCTCTCTCTCTCTCCCTCTCTACCTTTCAGCGGTGTTGTGCCTGAAGAGGTCGAGAGTTCCGTTTGCACTCGGCCCAAGAATGAAACAGGTGGCTTGGCGTGGTGTCACAAAGTGCATCCTCTCCCTCTCTCTCTACCTCCCTCTCTCCCTCCCTCCCTCCATCCGTCCATTCATTGTGGGGGTGCTATTCTGCAAATCCGACAGAATCTGTGTACGGCCACTATCGGAAGGGCTAGGGTGGGATCATGCTGTGAATTGCAGAGAAGGAACACTGCGGTAGAGGAAGGTCAGGTGCCTTGTCAGGCAGGGACGAGAAGGCGAGAGGTGTGCGCCCAGAAATAGAGGAAAAGTGAGAGAACGTCGCCATCAAAAGATTTAGGGGCTGGAGAAGCAGGAGAATGACGAAGAGGGTCAGGATGCGGGATCACTTGGATGAGAGGGTCTGAGTTTGCTTGGCCAGGAAATAGCAGCAGTGACCATGAGATCTGTAGATGGATACTTATGCACGTGGGCGCGCATGCACACACACGCACACACACACGTACACACACACACACACACGCACACACACACACACACAGAGAGAGAGAGAGAGAGAGAGAGAGAGAGAGAGAGAGAGAGAGAGAGAGAGAGAGAG